CAAGCTTTGGTAATGGATGATTCCCCCAGAGGCCAAGTGGGATCTTAAAGAGGGAGGTAAATGTCAGGAGCTAATTATCAAATTAAAAGAACTTTGGGAGGTACCCTTCAAGGCTGGCCTGCTACATTCTCACTTCCAGAAGAAACAGTCAGAGAGTGGGGGATGGGCAGCAAGAGTTTTAGCTCAGCACCTGCAAAGGTCCAGGAGGGGAGGTTCTCCTCTGTGGAGAGCCTCCTTTTCACCTGATTGCCTAACTCTTGGCCTGTTGGGTTCTTCAGACTGTCTGTCCACTGTCCAGCAAGGGGCCTGGCTGTGGCTCCGTTTTCTGGAGCTACGCACTTTGATCCAGTTTTGAGCAGCCCCATTTCAGATTGGCCTTTTTATGTTTGATATAAAGAATAGTTGTTGGCCAATTTCATCTTTTCATCGCTGTTCTCTAGGCCGGAATCCAAGCGGCTCGTCAGATGCTCATTAACTCCCCCTTTGGCTCTTTCTAGTGTGTCTCCTAAGCTCATTGTGCCAAGAACTAACGCTTTCTTTTACACGACTCTCTTTCTCTGCTCCATCAGGGAGACAAATTACTTTCCAAAAGGGATCGCCAGGGATGGTTTAATGAGAATTTCTTTGGGGCTAGGCATGGAACGCAATGTAGTTAACATTCGGTGGACTTAATTGGACTTTTCTTTTCTGCCTCTTTTAAAAAAAAATCTGAAGCTATCCTGTTAATCTCTCATTTGTAATCAATTGTGTTGACTAAACAAAAGTCTAGGTCGTCTTTTCTTCCTGTCCCAGACAATCCTTTGTTGCCTCTAAATGCCTCGTTCTTGAGTGATCCTGGTTCTGTAGATGGGCCCGATTGTTGACAGTTCATTATTGCGCTTTTGTCCACTTAATCTTTCTTGCTGTGTTTTGCATGTGCATGCCTTAATGAGCTCCGTTGGCAATTAACATGTTTCTGGGAGCAAACTGGTTGCTCAGACGTTTGAGAGGGAAGTGCAGGGAAAAGGGCAACGCAGCTGCCTTGAGGTTGTTTATTTCCCAGCGTTTTCTCAAGACTCTGGTACCCTCTCTGGCAGCAACCCCCCTTCCTGCTCTTCCCTTCCCCAGCCCATTTACCACGGGCACACCTGACATCCTACTACTCTAGGGTCTGGCTTAGGCAGCCCTCTACTTTCTTGTGAGCCAAACAGCAAATTGGGGCCCCATGTAAACCCATTTTTGCAGCCAAGGCAAGAGCATGCAGAGTGCCCCCCAAAATGTATCTGGATGTTGGCAGTTCTCTGTGTCGCTCTTTGTGGAGAGGAACCTCTAACCCGCCTAAGGCAATAGGACTGTACAATCTGTTATGTACAAGGCTGTGGCTTTGGAAGAAGGCTTTTTTTTTTTTTTTTTTTTTGAGTCTTGCTGGCAAGATTGCTGAAGTGTGAGCAGTCATGGACAGAACAAACATCTTGTAGGGGAAAAGATAATTGGAGTCTTTTTTGTGTCTATGACAGGATTCCCTTCCCCCGCAATTTGATTTTTTTAAAATATTTTTCTGGGTGGCCTCTTCAATTTAATCAAGGTTAGGATATTAATATGCAGTGGATGACTACCTTGTTTAAGTCATTTATTAATGTTGAAAACTCCAAGTCATGCAAACAATTTAATATTAAGGAGAAAAAAATGAGAGCAAACAGCCTGTCACCCACCAATTCCGATGCATAAAGCTAAGAAGGAGGCAGGCTAAGATGGTCACAGGGGGAGCCTGGTGCTGGCAACACAGCAGGTGCTGGCTATGAAAGGTGCTTAGTAACTCAGAAGGTTCTTCACTTTTCAGGTGAAGGAATCCTTTCCTAGATTCCACACCCAAACTAACAGACCTCTTCAACCAGGGAACAACTCCCAACTGGAGGAAGGCAGAGCTAAGCCTGGATTCAGAACAACTGTTTACCTACAATTACCGTCAGATGTGAAATACCACCTTCTCAGGTATGCACGAATGACAGGAGCTGGTGTAAAGGTTAAGTAACAATCAAGTTAAGAGAAACAACCTCAAGGGGCTCAGAATGTGAGGGGAAACTACACAGATTCACCTGTAGTCAGAATACCTCTTCCTGGCAGGAGGGAAATGCCATCTCCACCTGAGTTGTTATGTTATTTCTTCCGAGTTCGCAAGGAAACAATCTCCATAGCACTACAATACTGCCAAAACCTGAAAACACATTTCTCCAGTTTATAAGATGGGGGATCCTTTTGTGAAAAGTTACAACAGAAGACTTTCTCAAGGTTCTATTGCTTGGTGGTTAAAAAACTAGCCTTCTGCATACCATGCTCCCTCTTTAATTTACCAGTTTTTCTTAACACTTGACCATGATTCCTGCCTTCGAGGCAACCCCCCCACACACACACACATCAAGCATCTATCTGCCTTTGTGCAAATATTTTCCTGTGATATTTAAGAAGATATGTTTGAATTGATAACAGGAGGGGAAGGAAGACAGAGGAGGGGGAAGAGGAGGAGGAGGAGGAGGAGGAGGAGGAGGAGGAGAAGAAGAAGAAGAAGAAGAGGAGGAGGAGGAAGAAGAGGAGGAAGAAGAAGAATTTTGATGGAAATGACTGTTACAGAGCACTGTGAGTGGGGTGTAAGAATGTCAAACAAAGTTAATAAAACACTTTGAGAAGAACTGGAGGAGCTGACTTCTCAAACTCAAGCAGTCTCCAGGAGAGAAGTTCATATTCTCTGTGGCCAAGTCCTTTTCACCTCTTCGGGGTTTCCTGGGATTTGTAGCATGCACAGAGAGTTGGAAGTTAAATCTGCCTGCTCCTGTGGGTCCCGATCTCTCCTCAGGGAACTGCAGCCAGAACCAGATAGCATTTAAATTCCCTCTGGCTTCCTCGTCCCCCTCCCCTGCCTGCGCCTTCCCAGACTTGAGGGAGGAGGAAGGGGAGGAATACAAAAAAAAACGAGGACGCTCTCCTTTCAGGAAATGGAATTCTAATGTACGCGTTCCTATTTCTGAATCGGAGGTACTAAAAATACCCTTGCGACAGCCTGAGGAAGCTGTCGCTGTCCTCTGTGCAAACAAAATCGACAATTCTCCTTCTCAGCGCAATGGGTCTTCGGATTGGGACAGAAGGGTTGGCTGTGACCAGGATAGATCTTCTACCCTGGCCAGGAGCTTCTCCAGGCCACAATCCTGAGACTGCTTTCCATCAATGAAAACTGAAGGAAGCGATGGTCTCTTAGAAGCCCGGACTTTGGATCCCTGCCCTACCTCCCCCTGGAACCCTGGGCATAACGTTTAGATGGTCTCTGCCTCTATTTCTTTCTTCATAGAGTGGGAATAATACACACACACACACACACACACACACACACACACACACACACACACACACACCAGCTTGCAAATTGTTGCTAAAGCTGCTGGTTGGGAAAGAAAGCCCTGGAAATCAGAGGAATTTTTTTCTTCTTTCTCTCTCTCCTGGTAGAAGTCACTGGCGTTCTCAGTAATGAGTGCCTACTGTATACAACAAGATGGGCTAACCTTTGCTCCTTACTGTCAGAGTTACCTGGGATTGCCCTTTGCAGTAACCATCCTTCCCTCCAAATAGCCGCCACCGCGGTGGAAATCCGGGTGGGGTCAGCACTCAGTAGTCCTCGCCCCCCTCAACGCGGTAGCTGCGTGGAAGAGCACTCCCGGGCCCCGCGACGTGTTTCCTCTGGTGTAGGAGAACAATGTTCCAGAAGACGTGGGCTGAATCACCGCGCTGATATTAAAAGTGTGGAGGGGAGTAAGGGTGGAGGGAGGAGGCCAGGCGCGACGCGCCAGTAATCCCAGCTCTTGATTATCTAGATTCGGATCAAACGGGGCGGCGGCGGCCGGCCCCCTCCTGGGAATGATTAGATGATTAATGTAATGCTGTTTGAAGGGTCTCTGTTTTCTCTCTTAATTTGGGTCATTACTTAGAAAGCAAGCGTGAGATCATTTCATCAGTGTGCATGGCGGCAGAGATAGCTATTGAGGAAGTGGGCTAACTGCGTGGTAATCAGGACCGGGGAGGACACAGCGGCCAGCTCCGGGAGCTGGGCGCGCCCTCCCGCGGCAGGGTGCCGCGTGCGTACCGCATTGCTAGCCCGGGCCTGGAGCGCAGGCAAGGGATACCAAGAGCTCGCCCAAGGCTGGACAGCCTCTAGCTGCCGCTTAGAGACGACGCTCAGACAGTGTCTGCGCTCCTCAAGCCTGGCCTTTTCCCTGCACTTCGTGCTGCTGAGTTCGGGAATACCCAACTGCCACTCCATGGCATCCAGACACTTTTAACCCTTCAATTTTCTTTTTCTCACCCACATAAGAAGCCCAAGTATCTGCTCAATCACCAAATAAAACCTTGGGCTCTTGATGGACCCGGATGGAGGTCTTTGGCCCATGCTCCTGAGTGTTTTAATACACCGGTATACCAGGAGTTCGGGTTTAGCCTTAGCTTGGCCCCCGTGTCCCAAGGAAGTCACACTTGGGAAAGGAAAAGCTATAAATGCCTACTTCCGCCTCCTTCTTTGGATTTGTTGAGCTGACTTCGTGGCGAGGGGGTGGGGAAAAGAAAACGCGCACTAATGGTTCTGTTTATTGAGTCATATATGTGTAATAATCCGTGTTCGCTTGTACAGGAGAGATTACAAGGTTGTGTGAAGATGGCTGGGGCATCACGCTCTTCTAGGCGCTCACGGTGACAGGCTGGGATTAAAAGCCGGCTGCCTGGAGAAGCCGAGGCCTGGTATTAAATAGGTTTCAGCTCACTGCATTTAAATACGTTTCCTGAATGTACAAAGGTGGGAGCCACGCATTTGCTGCTGATCATCGAGGACACGTTTAACTTTCCCAAAAATATGCTGGTTTCGATAAATAGATTTTAGCCTCTCTGCTATAGTTTTTTTCTTTTAATTTTAGAAATAAGTTTATACGTGTGATTTGCTTGGGTTGGTACAGGGCAGGAAGGAAGGAAGGGTAAGGCAGTAGCTCTCAGCTCTGAACTGTCCTGGCCATGTCCTTTGCAGAGGGGGCGGTGGCGGGACCCACGCTGTCATGAAGTTTGCGCACATGTTTCTTTAAGTCAAAGTTTCTGCAAAAGCCTTTGCCGCAAGTGGCGCACGTGAAAGGCTTCTTGTCGTTGTGCGTGTGCATGTGGAAGGTCAGATTGTAGACCTGGTGAAAGGCCTTGTTGCAGATGGTACATTTGTACTGCTTCTCGCCGCTGTGGGTAAGCTTGTGGTTCTTGTAGTTGCCTACAGGAAAGCAAAAACAAAAACAAAAAAGTAGGGACTCGTGGTGGAACGAGTCGTCCCCGCCTCTGTCCAACTCCCACCACTAGCCTCCCAGCCCTGGGTTCCTCCAGTGGCTCAGAAGACGATGCTTGACCAGGCAGGCGCGACCTCTCCAAACTAAGAAGTTGTCAAACTTCGTCTGCATCAAGGCCCAGCGCTCAGGAAAGGATGGTGGGCCAGTCTTACCCAGGCTACCCGAGCCCCTGTCCAGCTCTATATAGAGGCCCACGAGGCGTCCCTCCTGCCGAGCTCTGCCGCCTGGGAAACTTTTGTGCAGCCTAAAGAGGCAGCAGCCGGTTCTTCCAGCTGATGCCTCGCTCCAAGAAATCCCCATAAACCTAGGCTCTGTGGCTCAGTTCTTGGTCCCCTCACCCACAAACCCCACTTACTATCTGAAGACCCCAAAGTACTTTGGAAATTGGGTGGAGTCCCAGGCTCTGGGAGCACTGGCAGCCTGCCTCCCCCCCATCTTAAGTTGTTCCCAGGAGGAAGATGCTGCTTAGATTTTTTTTTTTTTGAAAGGGAAGTACTGCTTACAAAGAGAACCTCGTACTGAAAGACAATACTCTCTGCTTCGTTTCCTTTTGCCCCTTTCCTTAATTTCCAGCTCCGAAATTCGCCCTCCCCCCTTCCCCGCCCCTAGTCAAGCCTTAATCCATAGAGGTCTACTAACCCAGGCCGGAGAGCGGCTACCTACATCCGGCACAACCCGATTCCAAAGAACTGCTGCGCTCCAGCCTGGGGCTTTTGTGCTGCCTCTATCCACCCACCTCTCTCTCTCAGCCCACTCCCCCACACCCACCCACACACACACCATCCCCGCCCCTGTGACCCTCTCAGCCTTCGAGATGAAATGAAGGAGTGCCTAGTCTAGTACCTTACCTTTTTGGTGAAAGCCTTTGCCGCAAAATTCGCAGACGAAGGGCTTGTAGCCCGCGTGGATGCGGATGTGTGTGTTGAGTGTGGAGCTGCGATTGAAGGCTTTGCCGCACTGGTTACACTTATGTGGTTTTTCCTGCGGAGAGGGGCGTGTGTACAGTAAGGCCGAGACGTCGGCAACACCTTGAAGGGACAGAGCAGCCCCCCACCAAGGGTAAGGAGAATCCAGCATCAACCATCATCGCTCTGACTAGGGCGGAGGGTACATGCCGATCTGGCCTGACCTAGGGGCCACGTACCTGGGTGTGGATAATTTTGTGTCTGCAGAGAGTGCTGGCCTGGCGGAAGCCTTTGCCACAGACTTTGCACACAAACGGTCTAGCTCCGGTGTGGACAGGCATGTGGCGGGTGAGGTTATAATGAGCATTAAACACCTAAGGAAGGATGAGAGCGGAACTTGTGTTGAGTCTACCAAGGGCCTAGAATCAGCTCTGGAGGCCATAATTTACCTCCCCCAACCAACCACCCCATCCGAAGCCGGAGTCCTTTAGTCAACTGTGTGAGACTGACAACAACCCCATTTTTCTGGATAGGAAACTGAGGCTCAACTAGGTATCCAATGGAGTATGCAGCTTTAGGAGAGCTCCTGAGCTTGAGAACAAGATGTACAATGCCACCCCAGAAAGCAGGTGACTGCTAGCTCCCTCCCCCAGAACCTTAGGCCTCACCTTGCCGCACACTTCGCAGGTGAAGTTTTTGGGTTTGCTGTCAGTAGAGCCCCCTGGTAGTTTGTTGTGGCTCTTGACTACCCCTCGGTCAGCGGTCAAGGCTGAGTTCTCCTTCAGCACCTGCTCCAGCGGCGCAGGCAAGCGCTCCTTGTGGGGATAGGGAGCTGGATGGGGGAACTTGTCCGCAGTCAGGCTGGCCAGTTTGGCGTTCTCCAGCAGAAAAAGCTTGGGGTGAGCAGCCAGGGAAGTGGGGGCCTGTGCGTTGAGGAGGCCAGAAGGGAAAAGGTGGCTGCCGAGGAGCTCCGATGGTGGGTAAGCAGTGGAGTCCAGGTAGTTGAAGTAGTAGAGCGAGCCACTGGCCGGCAGCCCCACCGCCTGGTTGATGACCTGCGGCTTGATGACCCTGCCCGCCGGCAGCGCAGACGGCGCAAGGCCCAGTTCGGCCTTGCAGCACACGCCACAGTTGGTTTTGCACAAGCCGCTGGCGCCGCACACTGGGGCCCCCCCGCCGCTGCCTCCTCCTCCACCGCCGCCCGCCCGGAGGCTGCTTTTCCAGAACTCCGAGTAACTGAGTAGTGTCTTGGACGGCACCTCATAGCCTAGAGGCTGGAGGGGGATCATACAGGGCAGTGGCGAGCAGAGGTTGAGCAGTTTCTTGCTCTGGCTGCTGTCTGCCTCTAGTGCAGCAGGCCGGGGCTCAAAAGGCGCTCGGGGCTCGGACGTCTTGGCCATGATGCGCTCGATGGAGAAGGCTAGTGTTTTAGAAGTGGCTGGGGACGCTCCCGCGCGCGGGCAGGCCGGGGGCACCATGGTCTCCAGGGAAGCTGAGCTGGCCATGGCGCGCGAGGCTGAGCCAGGCTGGGCCAGGGCACAGCCTCTCTCCTCTAAGTCTGCATTCCGGAAAAGGCAGGGGGGAAACCGCAATTTAATAAGCACCTAGTCGGCCCGGGTCACCCATTTGCATTCAAATGAACAGAGGCAGAACAAAGTGCACCCAAGGGTACCAAATTACCTCCCATTAACCCGGCGCGCAAAGGAACCCACCAGCCCCTGCCCTGGGACTATGAAAGGGGGAAGAAGGGGGAGGTTGTACAAAGGAAAGAAGAGGGGGTAGAAGAAAGGAGTCTCAAATTAACACTCCCCAACCCTTGCCTGGATCCAGGCCTCTGCCACGCGTGCTGGGAGCTGGGCACTGAAAGGGCAAAGTTAAAGCGGACCGGGAGAGCCACCTAGCTTTTACCTCTTTCCCCCACCTCCAAGGAGATGCGTTCCGAGCCATGCAGCGTGTCTCTTCTGTCACATTTTGATGGCAAACATCTTCCCCTCCGCGTGAGATCACTGTCTTTTACATTCAGCTGACATCACATGAAGTCACTTGAAGTGGAATGACATGGGCGGCGGCGCGACTCCC